GTATGTTAATACGATGCACATGTTTTAAATGTATGCGAATAAATCGTTTTATGTTTTGTGCTTGAAACTGTGCGTTTTTTATACCCTGAACCGCTTAAAAATGGGTATAGGGGAATATTGTATTTGTGCAAAATCCAAATGTATGTAACAGGCACAAGAAAGCATCTCCGACCCCATAAAGTGTATATATTCTTGATCAGCATCAACAGCCGAGTCGATCTAGCCATGTCCGTCTGTCCGTCCGTCCGTCCGTATGTATGAGCGCAAGGATCTCAGAACCTATAAGAACTAGAGACTTAATAAGATGTAGGTGCTCCTAGTGTCTGCGCAGATCGACTAGATCGATAAAAGCTAGAGTCACGAAACACGATATGTTACTTCTAAAATAGAATATATATATGCATTTGATGTTGGAGGAAGAGGGTTCAGGATATCCCCTAGTCGGGAACTCCCCCTCTTACTTGTTTTATGTTTGTATTATTATCCAATGGCAATTACAGGGTATTCACGAGTCCATACGCCGCACGCTGTACAAACGCTTTCGATTCGCTGTCTTGCTCTGGAACAATTGCCGGAAACCTTCGCTTGTCGTCGCGTCCCTGTCCCTGTGCAAGGACAAACTCATAACTGCGCATTTGAAATCGTATGTGAAGCCCCTGGCAAGGGAAGGAGAAGGTGGAGTTGGATAGGGTGCTGTGTATTTCAATGTACGCTATCTGTGGGTGCCACATAAAAAAGTTGCAATGTTGCAAACGTGTGTCTGCCCCACGCGAGCGATCTCACTCATTAATTGCTGCCGACAATAAAAAATCATCGTCAATCCCGACAATTTTAGATGGCTGCCAATTTATTATATAAATCGTTTATGGGTATATAATGCTAAATAAATTGCGCACACACACACACACACATATGTATGTATATCAAATTAATACACAATTCCATTACGCAGTTCAGCTCGTTGAGTCTGCAGGCGGGGTCGCAGCGGGGCAGCGGGGCAGCGGGGCAGCGCGGCAGCGGGGCTAAGTGAGCTTTTGGTCTAATAGTTTGTCCAGCTGATTGATTGCCTTGGCCCCTACCCACCCCTCCTCTCCCCACCCGCCCGCTGCTGCTGCCGCTGCAGTCGCTCGACTTCGTCTTCCTGTTTGCATGCATGACTGATGGCAAAGCCAGTGCCGCATGTGGCATGCGACATGCGACATGCGGCATGCGGCATGCATTTAAGCGAGTCGTGTGGATTTCAAGAGCAAACAGCTAGCGAAATGCGAATTTGATGAACTGCCTGAAAGCTGATGCCAAATATTTAACCGCCGATTAATCACCAATGTTTGCAGACGTGCTTCTTCTCACCCCCATTAATTGTTAATATTTAATATTAATACAAAATATTTGAATGATGCAAGTCAAAAATGTGAAAAAAAAGTATAATAAATAAAACAATTAAAAAAAAAGGTCAACGTATGAAATTAATTTTTTGGTAATGAATGTATTCTAGACATATTTTCTTCCTTAAAAAAATGGGACTTATGCGAGCAAGTTTATATGATGATGATTTCAGCTTTTAAATCGATTTGCGCTGACCTATCGATAACAAATATCGGCATCGATAACAACTAAATGTACGTAGTTACGACGACGATTAATAATTGAAAAGTAGGAGTGCCGAAAATTGAATACCCTTCACAAAATTCCCTTACCCTGCACTTTAGCATAAGTGGTCCGATATCATCAACCGATTATATCAACCATAGAATATAGTCCGATTTCCAGATGATTCGCTCAAAATATCTTTAATAATAGAATTGTTTGAAGAACAGACTTCTCTTACTGAAAACATGCTGTTAGCTCGAAATGCCCTAAATTTGGTAGGGATATCTTGACAGACAGAGAAAAGTGGCTTTTAACTATAACAACTTTTAAGCTCGACTCATTCATATGACAGCTATATGACTTAGGGGTCCGCTTTGGACGATCTTAAAATACGTACTTCCTGCATAGAGAAGGATCTGTGAAGCTATATAATCGTCTATTAATGCTGATCAGGATTTGATATATTGTCGTCAATGATTGAGACACTGTTTCGTGAAAATTCCATGCAATCAATTTGGAGCAAATCAATGCCAAGGTCAGTCCTGCAGCTGCAGGAGCGGAGTGCACGGATAGGATGAGGACGGGTAGAGGAAACATCAGCTAGTCGATGTTGCCGGCATCAATCAGAGCTGACTAATTATTCCGTTCGAACCGTGCCAAAAATGCCAGCTCATGGCAGACAGTAGACAGCAGAGGCGCATAGTTGGTTGAAAAGCAAAAAGGGAGGGAGGGAGGTAGGGAGGTGCGGAGCTAGGGAACTCTGTCGTCCTTGTCCTGCAACTGAATCTGGATGCCACCGCAACTGTCGATTTTCCCATGCTATGCACGGACGGACGCTTCGAAGCTTCATCTGAGGCTGGTGACAAATGCAATAAAAACCCAAAAGCGACGCGTCTCATTGTTGTTGTGGCCACAGAGGGGGAGGTGGGTTGATGAGGGCAAGGGGATTGGGAGTTGGGGGGCTGGTGTCCAGTGGGCGGGTGTTTTGGCGCTATTTGATTAATGACTGCCATTGCAGCGCTGAGTGATGAGCGGCTTTGACAGTGGAGCACAACGCAACGGGAAAGCAGCAAGGACAGGAGCGGACCCGGTTCCGGGGCCACTTTCATGCTCATGGATGGCAGTTTATTATAGTGCAGAGACAAAACTAAGTTGCCGCTTTTACGGCATCCGATTGGAGTCATTTTAAACCAAAACTGGCGCATGCACAAGCCCGACCAGCAGATGCCCTTCTTGTATAAAGTGACAGGGATTAAGTTTCTTTTATCAAATACGTAAGGAAATAAAGCTTTTAACTAGAGAAAAACAGAGTCCTTTCAAGCCCAATGTTAATGCGAGCATGCCAATGTTAATGTAAACATCTTAATGTTAATGCGAGCATTCCAATGTTAATGCGAGCTTCACGTCAAATAGTTAACAGTGGCATGGTCGACAGCTTTAGTTTGTACATTCGACAACGGCATAAAATAACTTATTACGACTACAGTAAATCTTCTCCTGACACTCTCGTTCATTCCGTTATTCTGGCCACCAGAGCAGGACGCTAACCGCACAGCATACAGTACGTAGGTTACCTGCTTTGGATTGTGTAATTTATGCCACACTCAGCTTAACAAAGTTCACATTTCCAAGCTGGCTGCAATTAATCTTTCAGCAAGAGACTTGATTGATGCATAGTTCCATGTTAGTGTGACGACAACAGTGTGACATTAACAGCACAATTTACAGCAGCATAGTCTACAGCTTCATGAAACGGGCAATTGATTTTGGCTAAATAAACTGGTGTTAATTTAATTGTAACTTAACCGCCAATTAACTAGCCAATTCAATGTTAATGTGACGCTAACAACTAACAGACACTGTTAGCGTCACATCAACAGCACTGTTAACAGTGTTACGCACCCGTCTGCTATGCAGAGTATCAAGAGCCGAAACAAAGCAGATGACCAGACCCAAAACTCTTGGAAATCAATCAATGTGAACGAAATGAGCCAGACGGCCATGTAGGCGTGGCCATTGCGCCCCCAACTGTCATCAATGTTTACGAGCGGTCATAATGACAACATTGCGCATAAGATACACGGATTGGGTGTGGGTTTGGGCACTGCAAGTGAGCTATGGCATAATCAAAAGACACGCAGCCTCATCAAGTTTTTTGTTCAGTTTTCCCCCCAATCCCTCACAACAAAGGACAGGAATGGGCCGTTTGGATGCGGGATGCTCGCTTCGGGACCATGAACAATGCGTGAAAATAAAACGGGCGATAATGAGTGCGTGCTGAACGCTGACCCGCCGACATCTGGCCCAACCATAACTATCCAGCATTGGCAACAACAATGGCCATGTGCTTACCCGAGACCATCTCCGAAAAAGGCAACAAGCCGTCGCTTCATAAAGCGGACACGCTCCCCCCACAAGCCGAAAATTGAGCTGTCAAGGACAGCTTCGCGGCGGTGCCTCCAACCCCCCCCCCCCCCCCCCCCCCCCCCCCAAAACCAAAAGGAGAAAACAAAAAAACCACAAACATAAAACTGCCCTCAAAGTCCCGGGGATTCGAGTTGCATTTGCCTCTTAACCTCTGCCCCGCTACAGTTGAAGTGTTCTTATAAATGCCAAAAAAAACAACATTTCTTTATCTTTTATCTTTTGCGCTGATGACAATAAAAAAAAACACTAAAGAACAGCTTGGAAATAAACGATACAAAATTAAGTCTTGAACTGCGATTTAGATCATAGGTTTTCGAAGTTCATCATTTTGCTCAAGTTATAAGATAAAAATGATAATTTAGCAAAAAAAAGGGACGAGAAAGTAGGCATATCTTCGACACGCCGAAGATTTAATACCCTTGTACACATTTGCCTTACAGCTTTGCAGATGTGTTAGAATAGGGCCAAGATCATATATATATATACTTATATGAGGAGCATAGTGGACACAATAAATACCAAATTTGGGCAAGATATCTTGATAAACAAAAAGTTTTCCATACAAGAAGCTATTTATCGACCGATCATTCCTATTGCATATATATGATATAATGGTTACCACATATTTACTGGCTGCAGCTGAAAGCCCGACCTATGCGAAGTTTTTAGTCGAAAACTTTAAAGCTAAGAGTTCGCATAGAAAGGAGCGGATGGACAGACAGGCGGATGGACAGACGGACGGACGGACTAACTAAGTATATCTACTCGACTGTAAATAGGGATCTAGAATATATATACTTTATGGTGTCGGAGATGTCTCCTATAATTCTTTTAGATAATAGTCTACTGCACTTACCAATATCTGGGCGCACTTCCGTCCAACGTATTCGAGCATTTTGAAAATCCTGAAAGCGTTGCCAGATAAATTGCGTTCACAAATACTAACAGAACTGCTCCACACTTAAAAAAAAAACAGCTCCACATTTGACAAGTCAACAGATATTGCTTTATAATTACATTTGAGTGTTATACACTCTGGCAATAGAAAAAAAAAGCATTTAAATATAGATATTTAGGTTGCTAATGGAGAAATGCAGGAAGCGCCCGCGGTTAGGATATGGGCGAATCGCTATCGCTACTACATAAAGTCATCAGATTCGTTGCCGGCATCGTAGTTGGTGCGCATGTTCTCCGTTTTCTGCAGCGAGGCGTAGCTGCGCAGCTCGGCCTCCAGTTCCCGCTGCTTGGCCGCCTCCTTTTCCTGTTCGCGCTTCTCGCGCTGCAAACGCTTCTGATCCTGACGATCGGCGGCATCGCGTGCCTCGCGCTGTCCCCGAAAATCGGGATGCTCCTCCTCGGTTTTGGTCTTGTTCAGGCGATTGACAATCTCGTTGATACGCTTTTCCAGGCGTATCTTGCGCACCGCCTTCTCGTCATGATAGGCCACCTGACCGGGCTCCATGTCCGGCGTCTTCTTAAGATTCTCCCACATGGTGTAGACCACTTCCAGATTGTTTACCTTGTTGCCTTGTATGCTGTTGGCCTTGCACAGCTGTGCGGCATCCACCAGCACATCGGTGGGTATATCATCAATAGTCTGTCCC